GAACGACATGTATGGACGCATATGCAGAAACGCAAAGACGCTGGTATCCAAAATATCCACTGCGACTCAGGAAGCCTTTGGTACGTTCCTACATGTCCAAATAGTACACAGCTGCAGGAAAGGAAAAATAGTAGATCGCGTCTCCCACATGGCAGCCAAGTGGTCCAGTTTGCACGGAGAACCCGCAGCGGTATTTGTAGCCAAAGTAGACACCTCGGAATTGTCCATAGAAACCGTAGAGGGAAAGATACCCAAGTTTGCTACTTTGCTAGATGCGCACGGATATGGTATCTACTCCGTGGACTACACACAGGATTTCTCCAGAACCTTGGATAGAAAAGCTTTGGTGCGCAGATTGCGACAGCTGGGCTACGAACACCAGGGAGAACTGGGTGGACGCAAAGGTACTATTTTGGACAATACACACCAAGTAGGCAGCCACGTTTGCACTTGGATGGAAGACGGGAAACGCACGAAAATATACAACAAAATAGTATCCAACTTCGAAGCCGGCGAAGTGCAAAACCCAGTAGGAGCAAAGTTGGCAGAGTACGTGGATTGTCCGAACGAACACCTGCGTAGAACATTCCTGCACCCAGACGTGCAGAAAAGAGGATGCAGCAGAGTGGAAATATCCATCTACGGCAGGGATTTCTCCAAAGAACACACCAATGCCATCGCGGAAACCATAGAGCCACTAGCAGACATATTCGTAGTACAACCGCCAAAGAACATGTGGTTGGCACTCGCGGAACACTTGGATAGATGTTTGTGTATTTGCTGCGAGGAGACAAAAGAAATCTTCCTAGCGTGGTACTGCCACGCAGAAACAGGACGCATAGCTGGCATACGCGTGCGAGGCAACGAAAAATGGGAACAATGCGTACTTTGGACCATTGCAGAGTTTGGTTTGCGCAAATGCCCTATATTCCGCATAGATGTGCGAGGATTGGACCCAGTGGACATAGCACCGCTGCGATGCTACACCAAAGATTCTCCCACGGTGTTGGCGGAGTCTAACAAACCCACCCGCGTACACAAAGATCCTCCTACTATCCTAAGATTTTCTCCCAACTACGGAACACGTAGAGTGGGTTTGGCGCACAAAGAAGGCGCAAAGGATCGGAGTGGAAAAGAGTCTCTTCGGAATACTAGAAGTACGCACGGACCGCAGAATATCCTTCCTATCCAAAAGAAAACGACAGCAACGCCTGGAAGACATACGGGACGATTTGGAAGGAGACGAGTGGGTAGAAGCCACAAGAAGATACCACGCAGAACTGTCGGAGCAAAGGCAGTCCATCCTGCGGATAGGATTTCCAAAAGAACCGACAATTTGCGTAGATTGTTCTTTGGAGAGGAAAGCYCGTTTGGCCCAGAGACGCCTAGGGCCAAAGTGCATAGAATGGAGCAAATACCTGCAGGAGACTACAAGATACTAGGATATGCGATCCCCAGAGACTTGGATGCCAACTGGTTGGCAAGAGGGCACCGCGTAGTATTGCGAAGGAATAGAGAAACGTCTGTAGCATGGGCCACAGAAGCCCTATTGGAAGCGTGTGCGGCTGGAAAGTTCGAAGCCAACGGCAACATGCGCATAGCTATTCCCGGGGAAGAAATATTGGTGGAGTGGAAAAACAATGTAGCAACTGTCTTCGTACCGGAAGGACCCGGTTTGGATACGTACTACGAGTTGGCTAGGAAAATAGACCCTCCCAAAAATCCAGAAAGACTACTGGAAGTGCCGGCGCCACCCAACAAAGAATGCGTACAGGCGCTACATATGCATCCAGGCGAATACCAATGCTGGAGATACGCCAAAACCACCTACAGAAAAAAAGAAAGGACAATCCTATTCCTTTCCGAAAAATGCTCGGAGTGTGTTTTGGAGGGCTGCACGGTAGAACATGCAACCACTCCGGTCTGGGGACACTTCTTGGAGACGCAAAAGATAGACTGGACATCGCAGCCGCCGCTGTACTGCAAGGTAGGTAGAGAAAAGACCACCAAAGCAAAGAAGAAAGACAGACTGGTGCACGTCTCTACTCCATTTCCGGAATCCTAGAATTTCTCTGCGGTTTCGTATCCTCCGCTGGAT